GTGTTTTACATTAATTATTTTTCAAATGTTGCACCATCCCATCATCCCTGGTATGAATCCCACTTGGTCAGGATGTAAAAATCCTCTTTTTACAATACACATGTCATTTCCTTTGACTTTGACATTCTTAACATGGTAAACCATAGGATTGATTTAGAATGGTCAATGCTAAACCATTTCTGATCACTAATGCCTAGGATATCCATCCTTTTGCTTTCCACTTACTTTTTGAGAACTTCAAATTTCCTAGATTCAAACAACGTCGTATATGTAATGTTATGATGATTAATACATATTTGCAGCTTCGGCTTCTCCTTTTGAGCCATGCTTCATCAGCTGCTAGTCTTGCAAGCTTTGCTCCATCTACATTGTCATGCTCAGCCGTACTTTTGAGAAGGCAGCGTTTCTGAAGTCGTATTTTGAATGACTTCTAGCTTGAGTGGCTCCTCATCTTGTGTTATAGCTGTGAATGTCCCCCTGCTAATCATAAGGTTTTCCGTGTAGCTCACAATGCTCTGCTACTATATATTTACAAGGTTTTCCATGGCCAATCCCTTAGAAGTTGACAGCTGATTTCTTCTTTGTAGCCTGTTCTTAGTCTGGAAACTGTTGAAAACTCTTCACCTCAGGTGATCCTACTGGTATTTGACCTGACTGCTAGCAATACAGCAACATGCAATCCACCACAGTACAAGAAACTGACAGCACACAGTAGTGACAGCCGATCACTTCATTATACCCCTAATGCTGGAATGAATGGTCTCTAAAGAGGCAGGCAAGCGTATCGTGATATCACAGGTGTACCTTAATTTGTAGCCCTATACGTGGATGGTTCTTTTCATGCATTTTATCAATTTCTCATTTTTATGATCTACTAAAATAAAATAATATGCCTCCTAATTTTTTATCAAAGTGTAAAGCATATGGTAAAGTAACATAATATTGGGAATCACATGGCTCTGTAACACCCTGCCTTAGGACCTTTCTCAAGTGATGTGTGTTAAATCACTGAATGTAACCATTTGTTGCTGGGGTAGAAACATGTTGAGTATAAGATATATGTTTTGAGGAAACTAGGAGGTTTTCTATGAATTTACTTGCTGTTTCTAAAATCTACGGTAACAGTGTTGTCTTTAATTCTAACCCTGTTAACCATTTGTACGTTCTTTGTTACCTCTCTGTTGAAGCGTAGGCCTTTTCAGAATGAAATGACTCTTTAACAGAGGCAAGGAAAGGCCAGGAGGGATAAAAGATATGTAAACTCATTTTCTTATATATTACCTGTGACCTGAGCATTATATATATATATTTCATTTCAAAATAACTGAACTAATTAGTTGTTTTATGAAATTATTATAAAAAATGATCTTGTGCTTTCTGATAGTATAGTCTTTACAAGTAAGACATGAACTAATATCCATTTATCAGTCTCTGCTTTTTTGTGTGAAAGTTTCGGTGAATAATTTTTTTGATCTTTAGGAGATGACTCAATATAGGGAGTGTTTGCTGTCAATAGCAGGGTCTTTTGTGTTTTCCGAGGTAGATATGTAGACTAGATCAGACTTCCCGGTTCCTGGCTCTATCAATTATTAGCTTTGAAAACTTGGATAGATTTACAGGTATGTATATATATGTAATTACATTTATATGCAATGACAGGGGAATAGAACTCTATACATATATTTATTTATAAAGTATTACAGTAGCAAATGGACATTGGGTCTCCACTCAAGTACTCCCTCAGCACAAGAATAATTTGTTCTACTAGCACGGCACTCTGTGATGTTCACCTTCCCCGACATGATTGCTGAAGACAAATGGGCGCAGAAGCAAATGTGGTGAAGAAAGCTGATGGTGCTCGGCTATCAAGAGATGTAGTGTCTGGGGTCTTAAAGGCTTGAAGAAAAGCAAGCGGCCATCTAGCTGAGAAACAACAAAGTCCACATGGAAGAAGCACACCCGCCTGTGTGATTGTGACATATTGATGGGATCAGTATCAGGCTTCAAAGACCCCAAACAAAACAAATAAACAAAAAGCATATCAGTGGGAATGAGGGGAGGGCAGAGTGGTAGACCCCAAATCCATCAGTAGTCAATTGGATAACCCCTGTCAGAATGGCCACAGGAAGAGAAGAGCCAGTCAGGGTACAGTATAGCACTGATGAAACACACAACCTTTCTCTAGTTATTTATTGCTTCCTCCTCCCCCACTATCATGACCCCAATTCTATCTTACAAAACTGGCTAGACCAGAACTTGTATACTGGTACAGATAAGAACTCGCAACACAGGGAATCCAGAATAGATAACCCCCTCAGGACCAATAAAGGAAGCAGCGATGCTAGGAGGGTAAAGGTGGGGGGTGAGTAAGGGGGATACCATCACAATGCTAGACATCTGGTCCCCAATCTCAGGGGGATGGACAACAGAAAAGTGGGTGAAATGAGACAACAGCAATGTAGACATGAAAAAAAGAGAGAGAATAATTTATAAATTATCAAGGGGGCATGGGGGAACAAGGGTGGAGGAGGGAGGAGGAAAAAATGAGGCTCAAGTAGAAAGAAAATGTTTTGAAAAAGCTGATGATAACATATGTACAGATGTGTTTGACAAAATGGACATGTGTATAGGTTATGAAAAGAGCTGTAAGAGACCCCAATACAATAAAATTAAAAATATATATCTTATTTATTGGATCCTTATAAATTAAAATGTATAAAGCTTTTTGATAAATATTTAACACTGTATGTTTTCTGTCAGCATTATCATCATCATTATTTTCATCATTACCACATCACAAACATCTTTCTAGTCTGCCTAGAGTTTTAAAAATATAATGAATCCTGTCTAGCCTTAATGAAGCACAATCATAATTTTAAATGACAGATTGTCCATATTCACATTAACTCATTCATGAAACAAATACTTACTGAAAACTTGCTGGCCAAGATTCTATGCCCTAGGGATAGTGTGAACAACGAGATAGATACATTTCTGCTACCGTGGAGCACATGTTCTGTGACGAGACGACAGAAAACAGGCAAATACATAAAATAATAAATGGGTAATAAAAAAACAAAATATGTGACACGATGAAATAAAATAAAATTGGGATATGTTAGTTTTTTAAAAATCTGTTGTGATGAAATATATATAATAAAAATATATAATAAAACATTTCATTTTCCCTGTGTTATTAAATGACATTAATTATATTTAATTATTGTATAAAAGATCATTATCTATGTCTAATTGTTTTCATCCCTCTTAGCAAAATCTCCATATCCCTCAAGATATACCTATTTACATTCCCCTTCAACACAATGAAAGTTGGTTTCCAAACATTTGTTTATTCTTGATATTTTATATAACTTATTTATACACATTCTTTTGTATTAACATAAGCCATATAGCAAATTTTTTCAAGTGTCGTACATATCATAGCACACATCAGAACTTTTTCTTTATAAGTTACAACTCAATGAATGTCTGTCACATGGTATTTGTCTATTTCTCTGTTGATGGACATACCCGTTTTCCTTGTTTCTGTCTTTTGGTTATTGTGGATAACACTGTAATGAACATTGGTGGGCAAGTGTTTCTTTGAGTTACAAAGATTGTTAGCTCAAGCAAAGTGCATGCTGTAACTAATTTACTATTTTCCCTTTCCACTTTTGTTTTTGTTGTTGGTTTCTGTTAATCTGGGTTTAGCCATCATTGCTTGGAACATCTCACGTCGATTACGTTCCTGCCTTTTTGTACTAATTTTGTTCTACTCTGTTATAATAATGATTCTTAATGTGAGTAGACTCGCTTAGTAAGTATTTTCCCTGCCTTGCTAAATATTTATATTCAAAACCTTAGTTATACTTACATTGTTTTATTTGTATTTGATTAAACATTGCTTTTCAAAGATCTAGCACAAAGATTATTTTGCGAGGTGATATGATACTAATGACTAACTCCCATATATGATTGTTTACGTGTGTCATACAGTTGATTCTGACTCATAGCGACTCTGTAGAACAACGTAGAATTGTTCCGTTGGATTTCTTAGGCTGCTTGAATGGTAACTGAAAAGTCAGTAGTTTGAACTCACCAGCTGCTTTATGCAACACAGAGGCATCAATCTACTTCCATACAATTCATAACATTGGAAATCCTGTGAGGCAGTTCTAGCCTATAAAGTTGCTTTGAATTGGTTTGACTTGACAGCCATGGGCAATATTGATGGGAGCAAATCACCAGGTCTTTTCTCTATAGAACAGTCAGTAGGTTTGAACTACTGACCTTTTGATTAGTAGCTGAGCTCTTAACCATTGAGTTATCGGGGCTCCTAACACATGGTGCTTAGTATTTTTAAGATTCTGTTCAAACTATTTGCATATGTTAATGAATTTAATCTTGAAATATGAAATATGCGCAGAAGGGAAGTGAGACGAGGAGTAATGAGATACTTTCCCCAGGGATATATGGACAGTAAGTGGTAGAGTCAGTATTTGAGGCCAGCAGTCTTGTGCAGAGTTTGAACTTTTAGCCAGTATTCCTAAGTCTCCAGTTCCACAACTATGCTATTCTTCATTGAGCCAGGGGTGCATTAAGTAGCTATGGTACTCTAAATTTATACTTTATTATGCTTATTAATGTCAGGATACCTTCCTTATTAGTTTATAAGCTTATAGTGGAACTAATTTTTACTTTGTAGATTGCTCTGTACTATTTTTATTTCACCTGAATAATAGCTTATTATTGTTCTGATATATTCTTTCCAGGAATATTCTATTCTGCAATTATCAGTTTTGCATCAATAAACATTTCAGATCTACAAAACAAACAAAGTTCTTCTTCCAAGCAGTATAAGTTTTCTTGCTTTTGTGTTACTTAAAGCATATTTTAGAATAAAATACAAGAATAGACTGTTTTTGATTGGTATCTGAAAATTTTGGAATCATATCACTAGGTTGAAATTCTTTTCTTTTTTAAATATTCTTTTTCTACAGGGTGCTGCTTTAATTAGAATGCTGGCTAATTTTATGGGCCATTCAGTATTTCAAAGGGGTTTGCAAGTAAGTAAATTGCTTTGTTTTCTCTTAAATTTTTTCTTATTTGTATGTTATGAAGATGTTTTACAGTTTAGGAAATTGCTGATATACGATTACTGAATCAGATGGAAAGCTCTAAGATGTATAAAGGTAAGCATCATCTTTCAGTCTGAGAAATGAAACATAAATACTGTGTTCTCAATAGCACCAGAACAAGCTTGAAGTATTATGTGATTGAGAACATGTTTAATTTTCATTTTAAATAACAATTGTAAGAGCCCAAATAACTGATATAAAATACTCAGAATGCCTAATTCTCTCTTTTTTCCCCACTGAGAAGTTTATGTAAGGTAAAAAGTGATAATAACCTTGGGAGCATTATATTGTGAAGAAAAATTTTATTACTATTTTAAGATACATGTATTTTGTGTTTCTGTTGATCCACTATTGATATATATATAGAGACTGTTATTTATTTGATGATCATTAAAATTTTTATTTTTAATGAGAAAACGCATTGCTGTACAAAATAAAGGAAATAAACAATTTTATCAAACTGTATTTACAGTAGGAAGTATGAAATTTAGGAGTTAATTCTTAGAAAAAGAGGATTCTTAGTGGCTTTTAAAGTAAATACAAATACAGAAAAATAAAACTTTTATTCCATTGAAATCTGCTAGAGCAAATCATGTTCCTAGCAGCTGTGATTGATGAATTATTTATGATGCATTCTGCTACTTAGAAGTGTCCTTTAAAGTAAATTGATGTTCACCTGAAATACAATTATGCTAAGACAGAGAGAGCAATCAATCTTATCTGTTCTTAGTAAGCTTTCATTTTAAAATTTAAATAAACTACATTTGAGATCAGGTCATATTTTAGTAGTATAATTCTATATTTACCTCCCACAATTTTTAAAGGTAAAATACAAAGCAAGAGTTAAATATGTTTTGAAAAGGCTAGTTATATGCAACACAACAAAGAAAAATTTTAATTTCCTGAAGCATAATTTCCCTTAGAAAATATTTTCACAGATTTGTGCCAGCAGTGGTTGGAATTTACTTTGATCAGCTTCTTCCATTAGAGACACCTTCAGAATAGCTGAATCCATGAAACCTATTTTGTTGGTGTGAAAGGCTCTGTTCTGATCACATAGTTAGATTTTTCCCTCCCCTAGTGCCCTCCAAGAATATCAACTGTCTAGAGGAATGTCCTTCGCTGTCCCCATTTCTATGTTTTCCCCATTGAAGTTGTAGCACGACAGTTCTGGAAAATCTCTAAGCTTTTATAAGAGCAACACAAATTGAATTTGATTTCCTGGTAGCTAGTTGATGTGAAATCATTTTCTGAGTGCAGTTTTTATTCTTTTTCTCATCTGTCTGTATAGATTTGCTCAGCAGATTGAATAATCATAGTTATTTTACTTGGAAAGGGTTATTATTTTGCAACTTTTTTGCATTATTTTGTCATATTTTCCTTAGTATGCAAAATGTGTACATTTTAAATTTATCCTTTTATATTGATGAAGTATATTTGATATACTTCAGATCAAGTATATCTGAAACAAACTATTCATCTGATTCTCATTACATTAAACTCTGATATAAAACTTGTTTTACTGTGTTACTGATGCTCTGAAACTTGATTTGGCTATTAGTTTTCAAGTAAGGGACTCTATGTTTGTCTACATTGCATTGCATTTGCATTGTGACATCTCATTGGTCAGATAGATCTGTATCCTTCAGTACTTCACGTTCAGCTTTATTTATGCTCATCACTCAAACTGATTTAGTGTATCATCAGCAGTTTGGATTAGTTTACAGTAGATCTCTATGTCGGGGTGATGAAGTATCATCTCCTGAGCATGAAGATGGATGGGGTAGAGTTTGTAGATGACCTCCTGAACAGACGCTTCATGCCATGATGTTGACTGGTCCCAGTTGATATTAATATGCTTCCTTTCCAAAGGGGCTCAGGGGAGGATTGGTTCGCATGTTGTTGAAACAGCTAAAGCTGGCTGTCAGGGTTTACCTCTGCTGGAAAAACGATGAATTATTTTCATAATAACTATGGCGATTTTCTGTTGACAAAAAGTGTTTCATTTGCAAATAGACACTAGTTGTGTTAACAGTTATAGACAATATCAAATTAAAAATTGTATGTTTTTTCCTATTTTTTTTCGTTCCTCATCCCTACTCACCTGGTCTCACTCGAGCCTGCTCAAGCTTGTTCGGCCATCCGTCTGTCTTCCTGTCTATCTGTGTATCTCTTCTATTCATTCTCTGTTGTTTTATTTTTGTATTTGCAGCTTTGTCATCATGGTCCACACACGAAAAACATGATAACATGTTTTCTGTTCATTTTCTATGCACCTAAATTTTGCTTTTCTGGTAGTTCCGTGTAATATGCCACTTCTCTTCTTGAAGCTTTGATTTAGATTCTGAATATTAACTCTATTTGACTTCTAGGACATATAGTACCTTAATTTTAGTCCAATCAGACCAGCATTTATTGTTATGGAGAGTTTTTGATAATGATTTATTTCTTTTTGTCAATATTTGAAATATATACACTTGTTTACTTTTTAGTTATCTATTCATTTCATGTTTTACTATGGATAATTTACATTTTTATAGTTAAGACTTTATCTGTTTTAAATTATATTTTCTAAAAACTGAACATTGCTTGGTGAATTTTAATGGAAATTTTATCTCAATGATATTGCCTTTTAACCTAGTGAAGACAGGAAAACATAGTAAGTACCCATCTCCGAAGGTCTGACTCAGGAACCATATCCGGTATATAATACATAATATTTCAAACAAAAAGGGATTTAACATAGCAAATATGGTTTTATAAAGCAGTTGGGAGCGATAAAAGAATAAAGATGGGGAAGACTTCATAAAATCAAAGCATTCAGGTAACACAATAAAATAACACTCATTTGCTTAGTTGCCAGCTGTAAACCTGGAAGCCACTAGCAGTGCCTTCTTCTTGTGCATGCTTCTCATTTGACAGACGTTTACCTGGGAGACAATTAGCAAGAGATTCTGAGAAATGCAGCACGCAGGCCTCCAGCCTGCACAGTGCTCAAAAGGGTGTGGAAGGTAGCAAGAGGAGAGGTGAGCTGACGACAGGCAATTTGACATACGCAATCTATCCATTTGGTTAATGTTGTTTTACTTTAGGGATTTTATTATTATTTGTACTGTATATGTAGCTTTTATATTAAGATATAGAACTTTTTTGTTTTCTTTGGCTACTTTAGTGATAGCCCCTTTATTCTTGTTCCTTCCTTAATAACTGTATTACTTACTGCATAAACATATTCCAGTTTCCACCGGTTTTGTAATCTCCAGTCCCCTCTCGGGAGGGATTAGATTGGATTAGTTGTGTCAGGGCGAATCAGTACTGGTATGATATGTCTGAAATTTCCAACTATCTGGTTATGGCACTTCTAAAATAAGCGCTGAAGCAAAAAAAAAAAA